TAGTGACCAATCAGGATTACAGATGTGGTCACATGACATGAACTACATTTCCCAGGATACCTTTAACTATATTTACCATGATGCATTCCCTTAAGGGGACAGCTCATAATTCCTAAGTAACTATCCAACTCCCATAGACTGGCTGAGACAGCATAACAACATATAGATTTAAATTTTAAAACCAGAAATATATTTGTTGGTACCCACATAAATAAAGGGAGTATAATACATATTTAATGTTACACGTGTTAACAGCGGCTAGAATTATGTTTGCACAATAGTGGAAAAATGAAGCGTTCCCCATAGATGAAATTAAAAAATTACAATGTGCAGAAATGGATAGAGATAAGAGGTAGAAATTAGGTGGAGAATGATCATTGCTATGTATGAATTAAATACAATAATTAAATACAATAATTATGTTGATATAATTAACAAAATTAGAAATAAGCCGATACAAAGAAATTTAAATATTTTTTCTGTTACACTGCTGTACTTATTGATATTTGTTTCTGCTTTGCTTTTTCATTTATGAAATATTTTATAATATGTTATAAGTATAATAAAATTACAGAGGTAAGGTAAAGTAAGGATATATTGTTATAGAATAGATTGGTGATGATGAAATGAACATTATAAAGAAGATTAAGTAAAAATGGTGATTTGTTCACATAAATGATGTAATATTAGTAATAATATAAATATATATCATGGATTTATGATATAAGGATTAATGCAAATTGGAAGGGAAAGATTGCAGAGATTGTGCAGAAGTGATTTGTACCAGCCAACACACTGAAGATGGTAACTGAAGATGGTTTATGTTTTATGTTTGTTTTATGTTTAAAAAAAAATAAAAAACTTTTATTTAAAAAAAAAATCATTTATGTATGCATGCAACTTCTTTTTTTCCCCAAAAATTTTATTAATTTTTAAAAAACATATACAAACAAAACACGAAACATGAAAAACATAAAACATCTTTTTTGAAAGCAGGTTGATCCCGGGTTACATATCTTCATACAGACATAAATTCAAGTTCATGCTCACTTTTATATACCATTCCATATCTTATTACCATTCTACATTTTTATATAGCTTCTCCCCTCTTTTCACTCTCTTAATTCTATTTTATTTATTTCATCTTAATTTAAATCATTATACTTATATCCTTTGTCCAGTTTCAGCTGTCTATTATCTTTTCTCATTAACACAAAATTTATCCTGTTATCAGTGATTGGAGTGTGACGCCTTTATATCTTTCCCCTAAATTTAACACTTAATATAATACATAACTTTCATTTGGATTCTGCTTAGTACATTCTAAAACTATTTTAAGAAAAGAAAAAAATATAAATATATAGTATAATTAAAACAACAATCCATACCAATTGAACTCTATCATTAAAATTAATATTCATTTAAATCTTAAACATTTTACACATCCCTTTTCAAATAGGTATCATGCTTCTATGGGAACAGTTATAAATTTTACGTAGTTACTTCCCCTCCATTTCACTTATATTTTAAAACATTATGTAATTAAAATGTTCCCATTCCTTCTTAAATCAATTCTCTCATATTTCATTTCATTTATTTTGTTCAAGAAAAAAAAAGTTTCACTGAATTACATTGAATATTTTATCCCATTTTATAATCATATGTTATTCCAATTTTCTAACATTATTTCTAATACAAATACAATACAGTCTTATGTACCTTTGCAGAATCTCATTTTGTTATATTTTACCCATTATCTCTAAATAAATCCTGTTTCTTTACATCTTGTTTCAAACTTTTGTAGCTTCTCTTCCCATCCTTCCTCCCTTGCTTCTTCATTCTGCCCTTTTTACCCCCTTGTCTCTCCATCTCCATTTCCCTCTTCTGTATTCCTCTTTTCTGTTGAATTCTAACATTATATCCACTTCTCACCTTATTTTTCCCTTTTTGGGTTGTTTTTTTAGGCCTTAAATTCTCCATTCTCTTTCCCCCCTTTCCCCTTTCTTCCCCAGATAAAGTTACTTGTTCATTAAAGATGGCTTCTTTGTCCCAATCTTCTTGTTCTTGTAGTTTCTCCTATGTAGAAATTGCCATTTCTAAAAAATTAAAAATGGAGCCAAAAGAGCCCTTCCCTTCTTGTTCCTCTTCTTTATATTTTTTGAATTCCATTTTCAGTTCATCCACAAGTGATACCATTGTAAAAAAAAATTTAAACAACCACCCAAGTGTTTTTAATCATTGAAATATAATTTCCAAAAGTCCCAGAGTCACCAAGCAGTCCAAATACACACAAGCTGTTTCATTTAACACTTTCTTCTTTTTTCACATCCTCTTCCTGGGGCTACAATTCAGTTACAAAGTTCCAATTAAAATGTATCTTTTAGAAGTCTTGTTACAATTTAACTTTAGATTCTTTTAAAATTCCAAGCAGTCTCCTCCAGCAAGATCTTACTCTTATTCTTTTCCTCTCCCTTCCCACTTATAGCAAGAAAAAGTTTTTTCAGTGATCAGAAATCTTTATTGTCCCCTTGGCTTTAATTTTCCAGTTTAATTACCTGCTGTTGCCAAAGCGGGATTTCCAATTTCTCGTTCATCTGCTGTCACCATAAGGAAGGAGAGTGAGAAAAAACAAACTTTCCCTTTTCCCTTTCATTCGCTGCTTCTGGATCTTCTTTGGGAGCGATGTATCCTTTTTTAAAATTTAAATTCCAGGGTATCTTGAATATTGCTTCTTATCCCGATCAGCCAAAACTTTCACTTCTTAGCTTCTTCCTGCACATTCTTTTCCAGATGAGTGCTTCTTTGTGGCGGCCATTTCTGACCGCTGCTCTACCGCCTTCAGAAAAGGGAGTTAAGCCAGCTGGGGAGGGGAGGTGCGGTTCCCCTCAAGCCCTGTCAGGTCTCCCCTATCTTCAGTCACCTCTAAGGGGTGACTTAGCCCCGAAGCCGGGTGGCTCGGGGCACTCCAGCGGCGAGCGCAAGCAGAAACCGCACACGATCGCGGATTCCTGCTGCCGCCGAAGCCCTACAAACTGGAAGTCAATTCATGCATGCAGCTTCTTGTTACACTGATGTTGCTATATATTGATTTAAGCAGAAACAGATAATGTATAACAACAATGTAAAAAGAAGTTACCTGCCTCATTTTTGGTAAGTTGTTTTTTTATTTATGTATTTATTTTTGATACTAAAAAAATAAATAAATACATAAATAAAAAGCAACTTACCAAAAATGAGGCAGGCAACTTGAATAGCTAGCTATGCCGGAGTCCTCCTCCTCAGTCTTCAATGAAGACTAAGGACTGGCTGGCCCAGGAGTCAGCACTCAACCAGGCAGCAGTGGTGGCAGGAAAAGGTAGGTGACCGGCGGGGCTTGCTACTTTGCTTCCTCATTCACCAATTGGTGGTGGGAAGGCAAGGCAGCAACCCTTGGGCCATGGTGGGCAAGGGAAAATGGCGCCAGCCTAGCCAAGATGGCAGCCGCCATGTGGACGAGGCAGAGGTGGCCGGCCCAGGAGTTGGTACTTGACTGGGCTGGTGGCGGCGGCAGCAGCAGAAGGAGATAGGGGACCGGCAGGGCTTGCTGCTTTGCCTCTTCACTTACCAATCAGTGGTGGGAAGACAAGGCAGCAACAATGGAGGGCCACGGTTGAGGGAAGATGAGGTGAGGCGGGTGAAGCAGGGAGCGTCAGCGAAGGCGATGGGCATCCCAGGAGTCAGCACTCAACCAGGACTGGTGGCGGCAGGTAAGCGACCGGGTTGGACGTCGTACTTACTGATCCGTGTCTTCGGAGGCCGGGGTAGGCAGTCCGAGTGGGCGAGGACAGCTAGCGGCAGTAGCAGTCCAGGCAAGACAGGCAGGCAGGCCTGGGAGGCAGTCCAGGCAAGGTACGGCCTGGGAGGCAGACTGGCCAGGCGAGGGCGGTTAGCGGCGGTGGCAACTGGGGCTTGCGTCTTGCCCTCACTCACTCAGCAGGGAGGCAGAAAGCAGGCAGTGATGGCTGGCTGGCTGGCTGAGCTGCTGTTGCTGCAGCTGCTGCTGCTGGTGTGAGGATGGCGCCAGGCAGGAAAATTTTTGTAGGTACCACACATGCGCTATAAGTCGGGGCGAGCAGGGGGAGAATGAGACAAGGATTTTTGTGCATGCGCAGTAAAAAAAATCAGGGTTTTTTAGCGTAGGAGCGGTGGATAGGGATGGGGGGACGGGGATAGTGAAGGGAGGGGCGGGTGGGGGAGAATGAAGCAATGATTTTCACGCACATGCGAAAAATGTTGTGCATGTGCAGTAAAAAAAAAAAACAGGTTTTGGCCCATAGGAGCAGCAGAGAGGGGCAGGGCCAGGCAGGGGTAGGTTTTACTGGTTCTTAGAACTACTGGTGACATTAACAACCGGTTCTATAGAACCAGTGTGAACTGGTAGAATCCCACCCATGGCTACTTCTCCATACATGATTAACAATCAGTTGGACCATTCTGAAGTTACGGGCAGTTTGCATCTCCCTCATCTTGAGGAAGCTAGGCTGTCTCATACATCGTTCTAGTTGGCTGAGATGACTATGCAAACCAGCTGGCTGGTACAACAGAATGGGTATTCTAAATAGCACAAACCATTTTATGGAATCTAAATTTCTTTCCTAATCTTTTCTCCAAAAGTTAAGAGTTTTATTGCAAGGAAACACTTCATAGCAAATAACACAATTTGGATTCTAGCTTTGGTTATTATAGCAACAAATGATGTGGAAGAAGTCTTTCCTTCCACGTTTTGGAATTGTGCTGAAACAGTCACCTCACAGCTAGCCTTTTTTGAACAAATTATTTCAATGATCCTATAAGTAAGTTCTGCATTTATGCTTCTCTCTTTGAGGAAGATGGATGTCTACAAATATGAAAAATAAAATAAATTGATGCAGTCAACAAAACTGGATACAGAAGCCAAACAACTCTCAATTCATTTGAAAAATTAAAACTGTTTCAGAAATCTCTGGTTCATCTACCGATCATGAAGTTATCAAATATCTACACTGTTCAAAAAAACCAACAAAAATACATTAGGTACACAAAGTACATAATGAAAAGGAAGGGGTCAATGGCTAACAAAATTGCTTAGATATTTCTGTTTTCCTACATGGTACCAGGAAATAAAGTTTCAGAATGACCCACAAAGGCAGAAATCTGCTTTTATATGTTACATTCAAACAAACTAACAAAAATATTCTTGTCAAAATATGTTCTTTAGGCAGGCTCTGTTACAGCTGTAAGTTATTCAGTGGCTTTAAGTGCAAAACTTTGGCAGTGTGAAAAATACAAAAATTTATCAATACTAGAAAGCGATAATAATGTGAAGTCTGATCCTGCAAGCAATGTGGTACACACTGATTTCATTGCAAAAGGTCAGATATTTAATTACTGTCTGTGTGATATGTATATTATATACAATATAAACATATGGTATCAACACACAGGAAGCATAGCCAACTTCTAATATATGTATATAGAATGGCTCTTCAATAAACTTGAGTTTTTCATTTTGAGGTACATTATTTACAAAATGCAGCTTTAATAAACAAGACGACAATCACATCTGAAGATTAAATAATGCATCTATTTAATGCCTTTAGAAAATGGGTATTTGAATCCAGGTGAATTTAGCAATGACTCTTCCAGAGGGGATTAAAGTACATCCACCCATCGCCCTGAAAAGAATTACAAAAATTGCAGGTAAGCATCTATATTAATGTAAGAACTTGTCAAAAATATAATAAAATATAATAAGATCTCTGTTAAGAAAATATCAAGGACATCCAAAATATTTTTTGACATTATTTTGGCAATACTTTCTCATGATGTAAATTGAACACACTACTTAGTTTTAAAAAATTCAGATTTTTGTTTTTGATTTAATCTTTTTAGCATCATCATCTTAACAGAAAACTTAAAAAAGAAAGTAGAAAAAAGAAATCTAGATGTTCAGCATAATTATAATAATGACTAATAATACAGCCTGCTTTGAAAAATCTTAATATAAAAATAAGCTGCTATACTGGAAGTATACTCCATGAATACCATCCACTACAGAACAGTATCTTAGCTTTTCATATTTCACTTTTGCTTCTCTGAATTAAAGATACTCCATTGCCTCATCTTAAGCTACGACTGCTAGATGTAGGTTATACAAAAACTGGATGATTGGTTCATTTCTTTACTGTCATTTAATGGCTGTTGAAATTTGTGTAGTCTGGCTCTCATAGACCAATTTAAACTTTAATGTTCTGGATTTAGTCCAAATTTAGATGTAGGATGTTCCCAAACTTTTTCAGTCCACCGCCCCATTGGTGCTACAAACTCATCCTCAGTGCCCCCCACCCAGGTGTGGGATTCAAATTTCTGTGGGCATGGCCTAATTTGAGGGTGTGGCTTGCTGGTCATGTGACTGGGTGGGTGTGGTTTGCTGGTCATGTGATTGGCTGGCGTGGCTTGCTGGCTGGTCATGGCTTGCTAGTCACATGACTGGGTAGGTATGGTTTGGTGGTCATGTGACTGGGTGGGTATGGCCAGGTGACTGGCAAACAAGTGGTCCTCACTTAATGGCCGGTTGCTTAGCAAGTGTTCTAATTTATGACTGGTCTCCGCAGAGCTGCTTGACCTGTTTTTGGAGTTTTGACAGCCATGCACACACATACACACACACTCCCTTCTAACCCTTCTAACCCTGCTGGAGCAGATCTTTGGACTAGAATCGGCAAACCATCTCTGTTTAGATTCTAGTAGTGCCATTTCTTGCTGATTTGTTTTATTTGTATTTCTTTATTTTATGTTGCTGAATTGCATTGCCATGTGTGTCCCTTCTTGTGCACAACCCAGAAGCTTTTGTGATTCTTTGCAACAAAAATTACCGACCTCTGGCTTTGCTCTACTTTTCAAATGTGCCGCCACTGCTGTGTTCTAGGTGCCGGCCCCGCAGGTCCACCCCATTGAGCCTGCTGCACTGGAGGGACCTGCCTAAGCAAGTCCGAGCAGAGCGGTGCACCAAGTCAATGGGGTGAGCCTGAGAGAGGGAAAGAGAGAGAGAAAAGAAAGAGACAGAGAAAGAGAGAAGGAAAAAAAGAAAGAGAAAAGTGGAGACTTCCAGTTTGCAGCACTTCGGGGCAGGCAGGAATCTGCAATCGTGCGCGGGTTCTGCCTGCGCTCGCCGCTGAAGTGCCTTGAGCCACTTGGCTTCAGGGCTAGCCACCTCTGTAGAAGGTGGTGAAGACAGGGGGGATCAGGCAGGAGAGGAAAAGAACTGGAGCAGGATTTGGAAGCAAGGAGGAGATTGCCTAGAATTTTAAAGAATCATTAAATACTAACAAGACTTCTAAAAGATACATTTTAACTGGAATATTGCAACTAAACAGTAACCCCAGAAAGAAAAAGTGAAGAAAGAAGAAAGTGCTAAAAGAAACAGCTTATTTGGACTGTTTGGTGACTTTGGAATTTTTGGAAATTATCTTTGAAGGACTAAAAACACTTGGGTGGTTGTTTTGAAGAAAAAAAATTCTCTCTACAATGGCATCGCTTGTGGATGAATTGAAAATTGAATTCAAAAAATACAAAGAAGAGGAACAAGAAGGGAAGGACTCTCTTGGCTCTCTTTTTCAATTTTTAAAAATTTTTAAAAATGGTGATTTGCACCTATGAGAAACTGACTGCACAACAAGATGATTTGGACAAAGAAGAAGCCATCTTTGATGAACAAGTAACTTATTTGGGGAAGAAAGGGAGAAGGAGGAAAAGAAAAAGGAGACTTTAAGACTTAAAAAAACTACCAAAAAAAGAAAGAGAAAAGTGAAAGAAAGAAAAAGGGACAAAGAAAGAGAGGGGGATGGAAGGAAGCCACAAAAAGAAAAAGAAATAAAGATGGAGGGAGGGAGGGAGGAGAAAGATAATGAGATATCTATTCTAGCCCAATCACCTGCTCCAGCAGGGTTAGAAGGCAGTGTGTGTGTGTGTGTGTGTGTTGTAGTTTACCAGTACATTTTGGTTTTTTGCCTTCTTCAGAATTGGTACTATAATACATTGGGGCAAAGCAATTTTTAGGGTGGAGATCTGGTCCCATGGATCCTGTTTAAAGCCTCAACAAAATGTGAGATCTCCCTGATAGTCTTGACCATGTTTTGACAATTATTTCATTGGAGATGGATCGTGCTGACTATTATTTAAGATTCCAAAACATTGATGAAGAAATGGGGAGAAACCTAGCAGAAATAATGGTAGACTTGCTAGCAAGGGCCTTGGAGGTGACCAAAGAAGAGTGATGACTGATATAGATGAAATGTTTAGAGGAGAAACCAGATATGCATTGAGAAATAAACTACCAAGAGAGGTATATGTTAGGTTCACAAAGAAAGCTATAAGAACAGAAATCTTGCAGAAAGAGAGATGCTCCATTGAAATATAAAGGGAAAGGAATAACAGTTTTGAAGCAAATACCAAGAAAAGTAAGAGATTTGAGAAGGAATACAGTTGGTGACAAAATGTCAAATTAAAAGAAGGATCAACTTCAGATGGTTGATATCAGAGGGAACAATGGTGACATGGCAGGAACAGAGACATAGATTAGATTCCATAGAGAAAGCGGATCATTCGAGAGCAAGAGGAAGAGAAAATGAGGGAAACAGAAGAAATTAAGAAGCAGCAGGGGAGAGGAATGGACGACAAAGAAGAGAGGAAAAAGAACAAGAAGAAAGAGTAAGAAGAGAAGAAGTGAGACCAAAGGAAGCAAAAGACATAAGAATGACAAGAGCAACTAAACCCTATTATAAATAAAGACATAGGAGAAGAAATAAAGTTAATGTTAGTTAACATAAATGGACTGAATTCAGCAATAAAAAGAAAAAGGATATTTAACAAACTAGAGAAACTAAAACTGGATATAATTTGTTTGCAGGAAGTGCATATTAAAAAGCAACACAATAAAGTATTGGACTATCCTAAAAATGGGAAACTATAACCCCCCTAGCACAACAAAGCAAAAGAGGCATAGTATACATTAACAACACAATAAAAACTAAACAAATCTTTCAATATTATGAGGGAAGGGTGAAAATGGTTGTTATGGTTAGCCGGCAGCAGTAAGGAGGAGGTTCCTGATGAGCCTGTGCTAAGTGCGAGTGAGCACAGGATGATTCACAGAAGAGCAGCAGAGGGCCACTCAGGAATAAGAATGCCAATTAATGGCCCCTCCCTTCAGGGAATATAAGCCTGGTTTCAAAGGGTTTTTGCTCTGTAGAAGGCAAAAACGTTCTAAGACGCTCTAAGGACCCAGCATTGTGTGTAGAGATACTGGCTTATCTGAAGAATTCTGTCAAGGCTTTTCTGGTTGGACTAATTGGCTGCCAGCCATCTTTTATCTATCTATCTATTGATTGATTGATTGGTTTGATTTGTCAATCGCTTACAAGATACAGGTATAAGAATAAACATAGTTTTGAATACATGAGATAGATACTTATAAGAAAAATAAAAAGAAACAATAGGACAGGTATGCCAGGCACAAATGGTGTGCTTATGCACTCCCCCTACAGCCCTCTTAGGAAGGGGGTGAAGTCAATAGTAGACAGACTCGGGTTAAAGTTTTGTGGTTTGGGGAAGAGTCAGGTAGAGTATTCCAAACATTGACCACTCTGTTGCTGAAGTCGTATCTTCTGCAGTCAAGTTTGGTGCGGTTAACCTTGAGTTTGTATCTATTGTGTGCTCTTGTATTGTTATGATTGAAGCTGAAGTATTCATTTGCAGGACATTGCAATGTATGATTTTATATACTATATTTAGATCGGACCTGAGGTGGCATAGTTCTAGGTTTTCTAGGTCTAGAGTTTCAAGTCTGGTGGCATAAGGTATTCTGCAATGAGTAGAGGAGAGGAGAACTCTTCTTGTGAAATATTTCTGGACTTTTTCAATCAGATACATGGTATGGGTTCCAGATTGATGAGCTATATTCAAGTATAGGTCTAGCAAATGTTTTGTATGCTCTAGTTAGTGTGATATTACCAGAGAAAAAGCTACATAGGATTAGATTAACAACTCTTAATGCCTTTTTGGCTATGTAGTTACAGTGGGCTCTAGCACTTAGATCATTAGAGATGAGTACTCCAAGGTCCTTGACAGAGTTTGGATCCTCAACAAGGTCTTGACTATTTAGCTTGTATTTTATTTTCTGATTTTTTTTTTTTGGCCAATATGTAAGACAGAGCATTTATTGTTTGAGATTTGAAGTTGCCATTTGATTAACCATTCTGATACATAGTCAAGATCTTTTTGGAGGGTAGTAGTATTGTCTGTGGTGTTGAATAGCTTTACATCATCAGTGAAGAGAACACAGTTGCTCTTAATATGATCACAGAGGTCATTTATGTAGAGTATGAAGAGAGTTGGTCCTAAAACACTACCTTGGGGGACACCACTGTTGACAGGTAGAGAATTTGATAGGACATTCCCCAATTTCGACCATTTGTTGTCTGTTTGACAGGAATGCTTCTATCCAGTTATGCAGTTGTCCAGTGATACCATAAGATTTTAGTTTTAGTAGTAGTTTGCCATGTACCACTGAATCAAAGGGTTTACAGAATTGTACATTGCATCTATTGCTTTGCCTTGATCGAGTTATGTTTTTGCAGTGTAAGAGTTGCAGATTACAGGATAGTTTTTTTCTGAA